CTGTGTTGGGGGCAAATATTGCCACTTTAAAAAAAAAAAAAAACACGGTATGTGTCCCACAATTACAACAGTACAAATACAAATGACTAATAAATTATTATACTACGGGGCCGTTGAATGCTTGAATTCGTGGCCGCATCACCACCTCGGGTGTGCATTATTTTTCTAATAATTCAACGGCCCGTCGTCAATTATTCCTTACTTTATGTATACATTTTCTTGCATTTTTTTTCCCCCATGTGGGACACCTGGAGACCTTCAGGGGAATTTAAAAATTGCATAGGATACACACATATATATTTCCACAGATTATTCCATCTTCCTCCAATGCCAGACCACAGCGACATCAGGGCAGAAATGGACTGTTTGACCGATGGCTATGTACAGTGATTCTGAGAGCTTTCATTTGGCCCCCACTGTCCATCGTCTGCTTCAGGAGCTTGTTTTTTTCTTCCCCGCGTTCATTTGGTGCGGCTCCAACAAACGCCGAGGTGTTTCGATATCACAGGCGTAAGGCAGATTTGGAGCGTGTAAGCACAATGTGCTGCGAATCAAATTACGCTGGTGCTGTGCTACACGTTCTGTGGTCAGATTAGCATGGTGTTTGCAGAAGCCAGTGGATGTCACAAGAGCTGTCTGTTATTACAGTGAAAGCAAATCAGCAAAGTGTCATTAAAAGCAATCCCATGAGCACCTAATGGGGGGGAAAGATACATCAGTAGTTTCTGGAGCACAAATGCAATTTAACAGCATGTCAAGGTGACCAAGCATGCACTCGGTAGGGATTTTATTGCAGTATTAGAGTGTTGTAAGTGAGGCAACTTGGATAAAGAGGAACACTAAACAAAGATGGGCGGCAATGTCAAGCACTCAATGGTGCCGTAGGGAAACTATCTTAACTGCTTTTCAGAAATTTGCATGTTTTACTAAATACCCATTGATAAATATGTTTAAAACTCCCTTAGAGAAAATTTGCAATGTTTTACAGAATAAATAACACAAGAATAGCTCACCACCAGGGGTTTAAAACCATAAAACTAGCAAAAAGCAAGCATGGTTATAATGGAGGAAGGCTGTAATGTCTGTGGCCTAATTTTGATTTCATTCTCCAATCCACTGCTTCTGAAAGCAATGGAAGTTTGTGATTTAATACACAAGACTTGAAGTTAAGTTCATCTGCACTTATTGTGCATATATGATCAATTCCAGATCAAGAATGTAACCAAGATTAGGGGAGGCTCAATGGTGTATAAGAGGTGGTTTGGAAAATCTTTTATGCCATTTTCAAGAAAATTCCAATTAAATTATTATTTTTTTTTTTAAATGTAAAAATATCATGCAGTGCAACAAAGTAAAAATTAATACATATACCTCGTATACATGTGCGTGTGCACATTTGTAGTTACACGTTTCAAAATTAAAACAAAAGAAATGATATTTATGAATTAATAATTCATGAAATATTACATTTTTAGAGAGTCATACCACATGACATTTTACAACCTTGGTTAACCTTGCCTTGTCATCAAAGGTTAAATTATCTGATTTTTTTATAACAAAGTAATATGCATGAATGTAACGATGACTATATTTTTTTATATCACATTAATATTTGTCATTGAAGAACCCTTACTGATCAGCAGCCACTATTCTCAATATTGGGGCACATGTCATCTTAAATGTCTATGGTGGTTACAGGCCATACGCATTTATTTGATGTCAAAGCTTAAAGCATTGCAGTAATACTGAAAATGGTGTTGTATGCTGATCACTTGAAGAATCTTCTTACCTATTGTGGTCCATCACATCCTCTTCTGGATCTCCGCTGAAGAGCGCAGGACGGGCCAGCACGATCTCATCAACAGAGAGCAGCATACAAGCTGCCAATAAAGACAAGATGACATGAAAAAGTGGAAAGGAGATGCACTTTGTAATGGACAACATCGAGATATGAAAGACTACGTGTGAGCCAAGCGTTCTTCCCTGGATCAATTTACATATTTTTACAGTGGCTTTTTTTTAAAAACTTGGAATAGTTTATTCAAATAAAGGGGAGCTTTTAATGTCCACCTCTGACAAACGGCATTCAATAAAAGGAGCATGCACGCCCGTGTGGGGCGAGATGGGCTGCTGCCAAATATTTTTGAAATGGCTTGTGCCGGAGCAATCTGAAGATTAAAAACATCTCTTGAATTACAATGACACATCACAAAATAAAATTAATGCAGTATTTTCATTATAAGGATTGAGTTCCGGAGTGTTTGACCATCCATTAGTTGAAGGGGGAAGGGACGACACCAGATACTACAATGATTCTGGTGTCAAAGGCCTTTTAGGCAAATATGCAGCATCTCACTGCACGTACTTAGCGAAAGGAGAGAATCCAGAGCACTACTTTTTTTTACTCTCCAGATTGGGGAGTCCGGGTCTAGTTGTTCACTTTTTATCTAAATGAACCATTTAAAAAGAGAAAAAGCCATTTAACCTGTACATTTAGGTCACCTGTCCATTTCAGAAATTCTTAAGAGTGTGATATTTTTAAGAGTGAAAATAATTGATTAATTTTCTACATCGTTTTGTAGACATTCAAGTACTATTGAGACTGCAGGACAATGCAGTACATTTAACCGCAAATGTAGTAACCAAGTGATTTTTGACAAATATTTAAACCAATCATCCTGCCATACTTGATCTCTTTACGTTTTCCATGTATAAAGGTATTATAATACAGATAGATGCGACGCTACAGAAGTAATATTAACAAAACATATATGCATATATACTGATAGCACTTTTTAACGGGACTGAGATCTCGTCTCTCATCGCGAGCTTTGGCGCCACCGTGTGGATACTCCGAAGAACAGCACTTTAAATAAAGTCACAACATGCAGTCAAAGTGGAATTTAAAAGTGCATTTACATGTGAAATGTAATACATTATTTTGTTGGTACCGATATCTGTGCAAGAAGAATTATTTTTCAGGTCAACTTTTATTTCAAACAAGCAAAAAAGAGAAAGTTAAAATATATATAGGCAACAAAGGCCTATGTAATCTTTACAAAAAAAAAAACTTAACTAACAGAATCGTTGAAACTAATTGGTTAGATTAGTTGATGTGTTGTCTTGTGTTATGCCTCATAATACATATAGAGAGTTAAAACTACATTTTTTGACTTTACAAATTTTAAACATAACACAAGACATAAATAACAAACCAAAATAATGTTAACTAATCTAACATTAACTAACCAATAATAGAAACATAAATATTTAAACGAAAGTTTGCTTGTAGTAATCTGAACGATGTCTGAAACTTTGTATTGCGAGCACTTCCTGTTTTTATTTGCCTATTTATGATGAATCGCTTGTTGTATTGCTCAAATTGCTTTGGATAAATGTGTTTGCTAAATGAATAAATGTACATGTAAAAGTGATAGTTCATGAATGGAAATACGGGGATGCCCATTCCTTTATGAATAAGGTTAATTAATTTAATGTATAGCCTACATACATGCATGTATAGGCCTACATGTTATGTATAACATAGGCTAGTTTCATATTTTACTGTAGAGACATTAAATATTTGTTAGCAAAAAGTTTGCTTGCAGAAAAGTACTTGTTTAGTCAAAAATGTCGTTCAGTTTAGCTCGTTGTTGTAAGACATTTCATAAGTTAAAAGCTTGTGTGAAAAGAGCTTACTGTCTGAATCATATGCAAGCACACCTGTCTAAAACTTTACTGTAACCTTGTACAGGGGGGGGCTTTGATGTTTTGCCAAAAGCCCCTGATCTTTTTGAAGATGGAACATGTATGACTTCCCAAATAAAATATGTTTAATAACTTAATTTGTTCCCCAAGTAGTAGACATCCATTAGAAAGCTATGCGCTGCTGGCTGTAGTAGCTAGAGTACCGTTTACCGTTGGACAAAATTCGGTCTGTGCGATTAATGTATTTAGCAGCAACCGTGCGATACAGTTTTGCAATGGGAGAGCCTATTTACATATGATGTCAAACCAAGAGAACATTTAATGACACTTTTTTACTCCAAATTCAATTAATAACATCAGTCGACTGTTTGAAACATCTTCCTTTTGTGATCTAGCGTGGTTTCATATCAAGAGAATGGGACTAAAATCATACTATTTATAGTAGCCTATTCAGTACAGTGAAAGAAGGCCGAGTCGATTAACATTACATTATATCCGATCCACTTACTTCCAGTTTCTGCACGGAATGAACATGGACATCAGAAGTTATGCTGAAAGAAACGGTACAACTTAGTGAAATGTGCAGTATAGGCCACGGGCCTCATGTAATCGCTCAGTTTCAACCGCGGAAAGACGTCAATGAATCTAAACAGCCTGTCAACTAATGTCACATTTACCACAAGAAAAGCCATTCGTTCATTTATTCAAAGTCCATAAGTCGAGTCTTTTGCTACATTACAAGTTCAATATATTTTTACTTAGCTTAACCTGTTCCTCAATATTTAGGCTAATGTAGGCCTATGTTTAAATAAATGCGTCATGAAAACAAGTTCCACTGTTTAAACGTTTATATTTCAACAACAAACTGGAGTAGAAACATGTAATTATTAGAAAGTTATTATCATAGGCTCATAGGCTAATACATTTTTATTATACAATAAATTGTGATAGCGAAAACACTGCCTTATGTGTTTGTTTACAAATCGCTTTCATATGGTAATGTAGCCAGCTGACAGGATTTATTGTAGTTTAAAGAATTATTTGAGAAAGATTTTTTTTTTCCTTAATTGGAAAAAAAAAGACATGTAGGCCTATACAGTAGCCTGATTCTCTATATTACACATATACATTTTAGTCTCCGAATAATAATTTAAATGGAACTGAATTTGATTAAATCGAATTGAAATCCATGGAATTGAAACTGACGAGCAGCACTTACCTGTAGATGAATGCTGATGGCACCAAACTCCAATGAAATATATATTAATCATATTTTTGAAAGGGTTAACAGACACCCCCTGTGTAATAAATCTACTACTACTACTATTAGCTACAAATTCTGCAATAGTGTTGTCATAGAAAACATCACGTAAATGTACTAACAGTTTTGAAACGTAAAGTCGCGCCAAAAGACAGTGATGCGCTTCAATTAGGCTTCATTTGCAGCACCTGTGTCACTCTCAAGCCCGAAAGGAAACTTTCGACCTTCACAGTTTTTTTCCGCTTTTATTCGGAAAGCCGTGAAGTTCTGTATGTGTATTGTTTTTTATTTATTATTTCTTGAAGATGCAGAAAGCCTTGAAGAAGTATTTTGTAAACATGGACGAGTATCTGGCCAGCATCGGGCTTTACCGAAAAATGATGGCTAGAGACGCGTCCTGTCTGTTTCGAGCTGTTTCTGAGCAGGTACATTTTATAGAGAGAGATATATATATATATATACCTCAAAGTAGGCTAATCTCAAACTGTACATTTATCTGTGACATTCAGAAGCTGTGAAAGTATGAATTCTTGAAAGTGGTGTATGCTGTAGCATAGCTGGTCAAATTAGTAGCTAGACGACATTTTTATGATTATACCTCTCCAATGAAGCACCTGTCCAGGTGTTTTGATATATGCTGCTAAACTGATGTTTTGTTTTGTTGTAAGCTTTATTACTCCCAGAATTACCATCAAAGAATAAGGAAAGAGTGTGTCAACTTCATTAAGGCAAACAGATGCAACTTTGAGCCTGTGAGTGAATTCAGACTACATCAACAGAAACCTTTGTACAAACTGTCATTAAGTTTATACATTATAACATGTTGTGTTATGGTTTTACCATGTCTTTCAGTTTGTTCAAGGATCTTTTGAGAAGTATTTGGAACGTTTGGAAGATCCCCAGGTTTGTATTCAGGGTCTTCCATCTTGCTGCTGTCACTAAAATATTAACAATGCATATTATGTTTTATATTTTGTATCTTAATGATTAGGCTATTTTAATGCTTCAAGAATCAGAATAACTAAAAAATGGTTATCAGACATGTGAATGTCGGTATTGATATTGGTTAACCTCTTTGTAATCGCAGAAGTTAGGTTTTTTTTAAGCCTTAGACTTTAAGACTTCATATGAATGTAATGTGCGGTCTTTTAATTTCCCAAATTCAATAGGAAACCACAGGTCAAGTGGAAATAAAAGCACTGTCTTTACTGTACAGGTATGCTTTGCATCTCTATTTCTTATTTTCTCGAGCCCTTTTGTGTGACACTATTAGTCTGTTAAAGTAACCATACTAAAGGAATCGCTCACTCAAAAAGGAAACGCATCATTTACTCATTTTCATGTCGTTTCAAACCCATACATCTTTTTATTCTGTGGAACACAAAAGTTTGATTTCTGAAGGACATCCTAGCTGCTCTCTTCGTTATGCTGTGAGGTATCAAAATGACAAAAAAGGAGACTCCTGTGCTGTATCTAAAGTCGCATGATAGTTTTATGTGATAAACAGACCAAAACTGATAAACTGTTAATCTTCTCATCCACCCAATGTCTAAAATGGACTACAAAAGTGTATTATTACCAAAGTCAGTGGTGCTACAATGAATATTTTTTTAGTGAATAATGACTTTTGGTTTGCTTCCCACACAAAGCTATCATGAGGCTTTGAAAGACTTGGAATAAAGTGCTCAAGTTTTGTGGACTTTTATGAGATGTATTTTGTCATTTTAGTGCTTGACTGTCCCAGTTCTCATTCACTTTCATTATATTTAAAAGACGAGCCAGGACTTTCTTAAATTCACCTTTTGTGTTCCATGGAAGAAAAGCAGTCAAATGGCTTTAAAATAAAACGTGGTAGACTATTCCTTTATCTGATGCAGTGCATCTGAACTATACCTATTTGAATACATTCAGATTTTAAATGTGGAATTTTGGGCCCATGTTCTCATGTGAATGGTGTTTGGCGCAGGCGGTGCTTTGTCATTTACAGGTATCCAGGTAAGCCGCCAACTGAGATTGCAGAGGAGGACAACTTGCCTAAGGTGAGGAATGGGTTAATCTCCATTAGTTCAAATTCAGTTCTAATTCAGTTTCACTATTCTGACCATGAACTAACCGCAGCTGCTGTTTCACAGAAATAACTCTGTAAACCAAAGCAGTATATACAGCTGCTTGAGGATTTTTGGCTTGCTTACCACTATCTGAACATTTATGAAAGATTTGATACCATGAATTTGAGCAGGAAGTTCTACCATGGACTCCCGTGAAGCTGGACCCCTGACTCCAGAAGTTACATAGTGGCCATCAAATGAGAGAGGATCTAGTGGAATCCATCAGCTCTAGATATTGTAGTGCACAAAATGTATATCATGAGGGTGGGATGTCTGAGATCAGTTTTTGGTTGGCAGCATTCACACAGTTTTCTGTTCTGGTTCCATCCACCAGATGATTCTCTTTTGAAATGTGAAGAAATAAGATACAAAGTTTTAGTGCGTTTAATTTTTTCTTTGCTTAAGCATTACTTTGTTGATAAAGTAATGTGTAATTTGTGCAGCATTCATTATATTTCCCAGCACATTTACCATCTTGAATTCCACCCCACAGATTTTGCTGTGTTGCTCAAACAATGGCCACTATGACATTGTTTACCCCAGGAACTATCCAGTGGATGCTGCAATATGTCAGGGTGAGTTAGCAGTTCATCAAGCCCAAATCGTGTGTATAATGAATCCTGATTCTGAACAATCCCAAACTGTAAACATTTTGTATCTTTATTGTAACATCACAGTACTGGAATGATGTATGTGCTGCTTTTGTTTTTTCAGCGCTTTTGTATGAACTGTTGTACACTCGTGTGCTGGGAGTTGAGGAAGAAGAGCTGCAGATGGCGCTGGAGGGATTCAAAGGAGGAGGACGACGATACCGAAACAGCCAGTCTATGTGCAGTGAGGACGCAGGATACGATACCCCAGAAGACCGCCTTCAGAGGTCTTGTCTTGTTTCCTGTTTTTATTGTCGTCTCTGTCTTCTTTAATGTTTCTTTGTTATTCTTGCTATCTCTAAAATGCAAAGTGTTGTTTCATCATGGAGAAATGTTGAAAGCTCACATGCCTTAAGAGTATAGATTGTAAGCAAATGGTTGACCCAAAAGTCAAAATTCTGTCATTTATTCATCCTCGTGATGTTCAGATTTACGTGAAACACAAAAAGGAGATGTTTAGCAGAATGTCTTGGCTGTTTTTTACTATACAATGAAAGTGTATAGGGAATGGGACTGTCAAGCAAAAAACACCTACAGAAGTAGTCCATACAACTTCTGCAACTATATTCCAAGGCTGAAATAAATTTAAAAAAGAAAGTATTACCTTTATTCAGTAAAGATTCTTTAAATTGATCAAAAGTAAAAGACTGGCAGTAGAGACTTTTTACACGTTTAAAAAAAAAATAAAAAAATTTATTATTTCACAAATTACTGTTTTTATATTGATCAAATAAATGCAGCCTTTATATTATGCAAACTTTATCTGCAGCCAGCACTAACTCGGATATAAAATCAGCAAATCAACAAGTGTAAACATTGCAGAAGCGCTTCCGCTATAGTTAGCCAGCATTTTTCTTTCTTTGTTCTGTCGTGGTAGTCCTTCGATGACAAATCATACAGGCAGGAGTACTGTTGCCACAGCTCCACGAACCTTTCCTCCATCTCATAATTCCACCTAACAGCACCATCATCTCTCTTTCGTTTCGCCATGTTTGAAACCTGTGTATGAAAGAGCTTCTGTGCTGCTATTGGTCAATGTCACCAATGTGACAGAACTCGTCGTGGACAACAGAAAAAAAATTAAACATGCTAGACTTTCTGTCGATGTCGTGAAGCAACGCAGACACGGAATCGGTTGTCGTCCACTATAACACAGTACACGTGCTGAAACGATGGAATCTTGCGTCCCGACACCCATTGTCGTTTACGAATCCCCACGACACCCTACGTCAAGCAAATCGTGGCAAAATCGGGCTAA